AAACCAAGTGTTTTCTGGTGATTTGTTTTTTTTTACATTTATTTTTTCATAAATAAGAAAAATCTAAACTAAAATAAAAGTCAATAGGAAGAAAATTTAAAAATACCTCAGTAAGAAAATAAATATTTAAATGAGGGGGTGAAAGTCCTGAAGCCTGATCTTACAGAGATACTGACTAGAAGTGGTTGGAAATTGTTTTAGCAAAAAAATTTACCTTTTCATTGAAAAACTGATTTGTTTATTTCAGCAACTAAAAAGCAAAACATGTCTAACCAAAAAATCTAAAATTTTCAGCTAAAAATTTTCTGGGTGTGAGTTTCCAACAAAAAAAGCAAAAACTTTCTGCGGAAATTTCCTTTAAGTCAAAAATCTAATTTTCCACAGAAATTTTTTTTGATAGAAAGTTGTTGATCAGCCACTAATACTGATGACTAGCAACTCACATGGCTTCAGTTAGAGTTGTGAGTACTCATCACATTTGAAAATCTGACCCATGATTCTTTAGTGAGAAGTTTTGAATGATTTTCCTTTGTGGGTGTCTTTAAATTCTGACTACCATTGACTATTCTTAATGTTAGACATTGTATGCCAACATAATAAATATTAAACTGCATATAAGATCTCTCTTTTCTGAGCTATCTAGCTTTTTCATAAATCTTCCTTTAAATATTCCAGAATTTTTTGAATTTTTATTCCAGTGTGTTTATCTTTGAATCCTTCCTGTAGTCCTAAAAGCTTGTAATTTAATCAGTCCCTTTTTTTTGAAGATATAAATGAGAGAATATAAATTTAGGCCATGATTTTCAAAAAGTGATTCATAATGTTGAGTGTTTCTATTTTTGGGTCCTAAACTTGAGATACATTAAAGAGACCTGATTTCAAAAAGTGAGTGCTCAGTACTCTCTGAAAAAGTTGGGTCTTTTTAAGGGGTGTCAAGTTGAACACCCAAAATCACAAGTCACTCTTGAAAATATTGACCATAGTGGTAAAATATTAAGTCCTCTGGACAACTTGAACTACAAAAAAAAGGTCAATTAAGCCAATACTACATTAAATCTATTATCATAATTATTACAATGCTTCATGCTAGCATATAATACACTAAATATTATAAAGACTTAGCTCCTAAATTCTTATTAATGCAACAAAATCTAGAAAGTCCATTTTCTCTTCTTTTAGGATTTAATCACGCAATCATAATCAGGAATAATAGCATTCTCTATTAACTTATCTACTGAATCATTGATATTTTCCAAATATGAGTCTTCCTTCTCCTTGACTGAGTTAATGACAACAACCTAGCATCATTGTTGTCAAATAGGTATTTCTTCTTTGAGTGATTGCACATCAATCAGATGTGTGCCATCAATCAGAGACTTTTCCCTCAGTGTTACCTATTGGGACGGCACATGTGCCCTCTGTTGCCTCATGCTGCTGCACCATGGTATGAAGGATGGAGTCGCCCATAATAGTAAGTTCCTTCTTACCACCCACAACAGTTGTTGGAGCATATGTTCTTGCTAGTGCAAGATTTTCCTTCTATTTGTATATAGTTTGCACCCATTTTAGTAGTTTTTAGTGTTGGTTAGTTATAAATTTTCTTTTTAAGAGTTTTCAGATACTTTAGTTCCCATTCCTGGGTACTGACATTGGTGCTGGGGAATGCCTCAGTCACCAGAGTTTCAACTGTACCACTTGTGCAAGAAGCCAATGCCAGTGAGTGACCCACACCACCTGAAGTGTCTTGGGGAGACTCATGTCAGGGATCAGTGTCAAATTTGCAGAAACTTTAAATCTAGAACCAAGAAAGACAGGCAAGGAGGGGTCTGGTTGGCTCTGCTATGCTAGGAGGTGATAAGGCTGTTGGATTTCTGCATCGCTATTTCTATCCACCTCAAAGCCTCTCACCTTCCTGGAGTTCACAATACTCTGGCAGACTGGTGAAGCAGATCATTCATGACTCACTATGAGTGAGGCTTAGGTTTCTGCTGATGGTGGCAGCACTGCACCCAACTTTGGAGCCTCTCTGCTTGCAGTGGCCACCGAGTGAATCTGTGTCCATTACAAGTGCTCCTCCTGCTTTGACTGAGCCTTCAGGCCAATCCCCCTCACTGGTACTGAGGAAGAGGCACCAGAACGTATCTAAAGACTTAGCATCTGAGAGATTGAGATCCTCAGCACTGAAGCCCAATAAGCACAAGGGCAGTGGGGTGCACTTGAAGAGGAGGACCTCTTTGAGGCAGTCATCAGTCCAAGGGGGTCCATTGACTCCAGCACCAGCCACGGTCCCATTGAGACTGGCCCCTGAAGTGGTGTGTACTTCAACAGTACAGCCCATGATGTCTCAACAGCAAGGATTATTCCGGGACTGTCTACGAAGGCTTTCACAGTGGCATGGGAACTGCTAAATCTCTTGGTGCCAGTTTCCTTGGTGGTCCAGGAGTCTTTGCACCCTGTACCAGCACCTATTTTGCTTGTGCCAACCCATAGTCTGGTTCTTGGGGCACCTCCAGCCTCTCAAGTACCTCTCCAAGTGGTGACATCTAGAGGCAAGTAGGCCGTGATCTCACTGGTACCACCTTCGGATAGCAATGATGGGAATAGTCCCCCCCACTTCACCCCCACCCCAGTGAGATGAAGTGGATTTCTTGTTGGAGTCAGAGGTTTGCTCTTACATCTCATGGCCACATCACATACAGCAATATCCCTTGCTCGGCACCTATCGACCCAACCATGTGGCCAGTTTGGACACTGCAGGCTCAGCAGCTTGGGCCAAAGCATTGGTCACTATGATGTGTAGATGTTCCTGGCTTCAGTCATCTGGTCTCCCTCAAGAAGTCCAACAGACCATACAAGATCTGCCCTTGAGGGTCCATCACTTTTTTCTGTGCACACCGATGAGTAGCAGCAAATCTTAAGCACCTGAGGATAATGCTCAAATTTTGGGCATCTTTTTCTGAAGAGGAAGCAGTTTTGTCCTCAGCAGCCTCACCAGTATCCTACTTTCATGCCTTGCATCCAGGACCTAATCAGAAAAAAGGCAGAAGTTACAGGAGAAGACCACTCCCTCCTTCTTCTGCTGCAGCTACCAGTTTATCCAGGCAGCCTGGGAGTTCCAAGCAAGCATACTGATGTGTTGGTTGAGGACAACCTACCAGTATCCAGAGTGCCAGCCACTCCTACCCTGCTTGTTGCCAACTATCTCTTTATCCGAGTGCTTGGTTGTACATCACTACCCAGGAACATTCTCCTGTAGGAGGTAAGTCTTTCTTCCAAGTGGAAGCCATAGAGGAAGTTCCTGTTTTTCAGAGGGAAGGGATTTTACTCTCACTACTTCCTAATCTTGAAAGCAAGAGGGGGTCTCAGGCCTATTTGAGACCTAAGAAAGGTCAACAAATTCCTGAAGGAAATAAACTTCCAGATGGTCACTCTGGCTTCTATTATCCCCTCCATGGACCTTAAGGTTTGGTATGCTCCCCTCGACTTAGAAGATGTGCATTTCCATGTGGCAATACACCAGAGCCAGAGGAAATTCTTCAGGTTTGTGGTCGACAAATCCCACTACAGTTTATATTATTACCATTTGGACTGTCTGCAGCCCCTCGTATATTCCAGATCTGGCTATGACTGGGAAAAGAGAGCTCTCAGTGCCTCATGAATGACCTGCTTCACCAGTCTGCCAGAGTATTGTGTACTCTGGGAAGATGAGAGGCTTTGAGGTGGACAGAAATAGCAATACAGATATCCCACAGCCTCATCACCTCCCGGCATAGAAGAGTCAACAAGGTCTCTCCTTGCCTGTTCACATAGGACATGGCTGCTGTATTGTCTGTTAGTACTAGCAGATCTTACCCCTTGATAAGGGGAAGGAAGGCCAGACAAGCTAGCTGGATGTCCCCCATTTTTCTGGCATTTATATGTAGAGTCAAATCATGGGCAGACCACAAACCTTGAGTCTGCAGGGATCCAAGGTAAGCTCCCCAACGAGGATAGAAACATCTGTAACTAAGGGGAAAGCTGGTTGAGGAGGAGCAAATGGAACTCCCCCACAAACATTTGAAGGGTCTTTCTGCCAGTCTAGAGAGGTCAAGACTTGTGTGGACATCCAAACTTACATGTTTAGGGGATTATGGATCAGTGAGTACCCCAATGCTAACCACCATTGTAGTTTCCTGAGATGGAGCCTGGCATGCTGAACTAAGTAAGTGCATGAGGCCATATGTCCTAGAAGCAGAGGCAATTTTGAACTGTCCTGGTAGGATGAGCCTTCATATCCAAAGCAGTGTTAGTATTGTCTGGAATCTTAACTATAGAAGCAGGGACCTAGTGTCCATAGAGTTCAAGACCACCTACACTTTATCCTTTGTACAGGTGACAGGACTGACTTCTCTCTGTTGATGAGCAACCCTAGTGCATCGATGGGGGATTGGATGACCGTCACACTGGACAGTACCTGAGCCTTGAACTGGCACCTCACCAACCAGTCATCAGGTAAGGAAACACATGAACTCCTATCTTTCTCATGAAGACTGTCACCACTGCCAAGGCAGCCCCACATAGATATGTTTGCAACAAAAGTAAACAGGAAATGTCATCGGTTTTGTTCTTGAGCAGGTCACAGTTCAAGGTCTTTCATGGACAATTTCCCATTGCCTTGGACAGACAAACTCCTGTACACATTTCCTCCAGTTCCACTCCTACCCGAATGTTGTTCAAAATCAAACAACACCAGGCTCAAGTCATACTTGTAGCTCCACAGTGTGACCTCGACAACATTAGTTTTTGACTTTGCTGACCCTTTTGGACAAAGATCCTCTGATACTTCCACCAGATTCAGACCTGATCTCTCAGGACAATGGGCATCTCCTTCACCCCACCATACAGACCCTACACATGACACCTTGGATGCACCGTGGCTGGCTCATCTGGAGAAAATTTGCTCAAAGGAGGTTCAAGATGTGCTTTTAAATGTTAGAAAGCCTTCTATTAGGTATACTTACCTGGCAAAATGGAAGAAATTCTCCATCTGGTCCCAGCAGAAAGGTATTTCCTCACTCCCAGCTTCCATCTATCAGGTATTGGACTAGCTCGTATACCTGAAACAATAAGATCTTGCTATTAGTTCCATCAAAATCCATCTGGCAGCTATTTCGGCTTTCCACCCACCAACTGATAACTGCTCCCTTTTTTCCAAGCTTATGGCAATCAGATTTCAAAAGGGTTTGGATAGGTTATTTTCCCAAGTAGAGCTCCTATTCTCCCTTGGGACTTAATCCTAGTGTTAGCAAAGTTAATGGGTTCCACCTTTGAATCAATGGCAACCTGTTCCTTACTTCATCTTTCCATTAAGGTAGCCTTTTTGACTGCAATCACCTCAACCAGGAGAGTGGGTGAGTTATGAGCTCTGGTTTCAGAACCTCCTTATGTTATCTTTTATAAGGACAAGATTTACCTCTGCCCTCATCCAAAGTTCCTCACTAAAGTGGTGTCCAACTTCCACTTTAATTGGGCAATTTATTTACCAATTTTCTACCCGAAGCTTCATAATCATAAAGATGAAGAAAAAGCTCACACCTTGGACATTAGAAGAGCTTTAGCATTTTACCTGGACCACACTAAGTTGTTTAGGTCATTGTCACAGTTATTCGTGGCAATTGCAAACAGACTGAAGGCCCTTCCAGTCTTCTCTCAAAGGATTTCCTTATGGATCTCCTCTCATATTCATTTGTGCTACAAGCTGGCTAATGTGACAACCCCAAGAAAAGTGTTGGTGCATTCAACTAGATCATATGCAGCCTCTGCAGCCTTTCAGGCCCAATTGCATATTCTGGACATTTGCAAAGCAGCAAGCTGGTCATCAGTGCATACTTTTGCCTCGCATTGTGCCATTTCTCAACAATCTAGACATGGTGCCAGGTTTGGTCATGTGGTCCTTCAATATCTATTTAGGTAGACTGCGATCCCACCTCCAGACTGAACTGCTTGTGAGTCACCTTAAGCGGAATGGACATGTGCAATCACTCAAAGAAGAAGAATGGTTATTAACCTGTTCAGTAACTGTTCTTCAAGATGTGTTACACATGTCCATTCCACAACCCACCCTCTTTCCCCCCATCTATCGGAGTCTATCTGGTAAGAAGGAACTGAGGGGGAGGGGTCTGGGTGGCTCCGCCCTTTATGCCATCTGCAGTAGCTCAAAGCAGCAGAGGTGCATGTGCCACCATGACAGGTATCACTGAGGGAAAAAATCTTTGACAGTTGCACACTAGGGTGCACACACCTGGAGTGGAATGAACATGTGCAACACATCTCAGAATAACAGTTAAGGAACAGGTTAGTTACCCTTTCTTCTTACCGTTTATTATAAAACCTTCTTTATCAAGAAAGGATGATGAAGCCGGGTTGATTTCAATGAGAGCTGCACAAATGGAGCGTTTGCAGGGCTGGACATTCAACAGTAAATTTAGTGCTGATGTAAAAGTATCAGACTGACAATTCTAGGAAATGAAGTCCTTCATTTATCCACAGGAGAGGTATAACCTGGTGATCCATGTTGTTACTGGCCATACACTGGTCAACCAACGTGTCTTAACTCTGACTTGCCAGGGCCACCTTAGGCAAGATTATTTCAGTCCCTGAAGATGTAAGTGAAGGTATCAAACCTGTTCACTTGAAACTGGAATAAGACTACTATTTCATTTCATACAGGGCACCAAATAGCCATTAGACATTAACAACTCTGTCTCTGTGGACCTGGCTGGATTCAAACCAGTGATCTAGAGGTAAAAAGTTTCATATCCCATTACCATTCCCTAAACCTACTGTCTTCCTTTGTAGTTAAGCTTTTACAATTTTTTTATATTACATTCATACATGCACTGTAAGAAAATGATCGTAAAGTACATATGCTGGTATGGTACTAATAAAAACATTTCCATCAAAGGATTGCTATTTTTACCTTCTCATTTATTGCAATGTTCTTAGCTGCCATTCATTCTATTAAAGAAAATGCAGTAAGTTCAGCTATCTTAGAAAAGATTGCCATTAAATCAGTCTTAGTACTTATGACTCAAAAATCTGCTTCATATTATATGAAGACATCTAAATGTCATAATGCTCTAGATAAAATTAACTAAAAGGAGTACCCAGGAGCATATTTACTTTATGGGGACAGATCAAGATTGAGCTCAACAATGAAACATTTATTGGTGGTCAGAGGAAGTTCACAGGGTTTCATTGAACGAATAGCTGGTTTTGGTTACAGAGCTTAGTGAAAAGTTAACATATCTGGTTGTATATGTGGAAATCGCCATTCTCACCGTAATAATCTGCCAGTTTTTGTCGACTCCATTGATTCCATTTATTAATATTTGGTATTATTCTGTTTTTGCATGGCATCATTGTGTTTTTTTGGCTGTCACCATAGCTTTTAGGAATCAGAACGGGTCATATGAGCCAAGATAATTCAATGCTAATATATTTTCCAGTCAAAAGCTCTCAATATTGAGTTGTATTTCAGTTTCCAGAAAACACATTGCTTGAGTGTTTTGCAATGACAGAGAAACTTAGGGAAACCTCTAAAGCTGTCTATATGGAGACAGTTAAAACAGTTTAATTTGGTGCCAGTCTATTATTGTACGGTATGTTTTAGGTAGGATTTTCATTAAGGTATGTCTAGTTTTAGGGAACACTTGCTTTCTAAGCATTCTCTAAGAAGCTGTTCCACTTCCAGTGTTACATGTATTTCTTCTATCATGTTCTGGCTAGTGGGCCTGGGGAAGTTTGGATACAGAAACAAATTTGGCATCTGATGGCCTACCTCCATAGTGGGCCAAACCAAAACCGAGCATCTGTTCATTCCTTTCTCTCCTTGATCTTTGGAAAAATTCACATTAAGATCCAAATTTTATAGCTTTGGACCAATTCTAGTTTTGAAGACTCTCCAGGCCAGTGATACTCAGACTGCAGTGGTTCAAGAGCCAAATTAGAGATCAACATTACCCAAAAGAACCACAGTCGTGTGAATTCATCTTGTCTGTCTGTCTGTCTATCTGTCTGTATGTCTGATTCTTGCAGCAAATAAATTAATAACTTAGTGCAAGTTGATAATTTAATTGGTCAATAACATAGTAAAACATCCAGATTGGTTAATAACTAAATAACAGTGTTTTAATATCATATGCTGCAAAGAGCTTCAGGAGATAAATTAAAGAGCCACTTGCGGCTTGCGAGCCTGAGTCTGAGTATCACTGCTCTAGGCCATTGTTAGGGTTACTTTGCTCATTCCTGAATTTATTGATATCAGCTGCAACATGACAAGAACCAGCAGTTGGGTTGATATTTTGAAGAGGCAAAACACTTTTATGTATAACTCAGTTTAAGGCATAGGTTTTACTGTACTTCCAAATTTGATTGGCAAGCAGAAACTCATGTTTTCTAGATCAGCAGTTCTCAACCAGGGGTCTGAGGCCCCCTGGGGGGCTGTGAGCAGGTTTCAGAGGGTCTGCCAAGCAGGGCCGGCATTAAACTTACTGGAGCCTAGAGCAGAAAGCCAAAGTCCTGCTGCCCCAAGCCCCACCACCCGGGGCTGAAGCAGAAACCTGGGCAACTCAGTTTTTCAGGGTCCCCTGTGGTGTGGAGCCCCAGGCAATTGCCCTGCTTGCTACCCCCTAATGCCGGCCCTGGCTTTTATACAGGGACACTGGAAAAATTTGTGTAGTGGAGGTGCTGAGAGCCATTGAACCAATCTGTAAACCCTGTATATGATGGAAACCACTTCAAGCCAGGGAATGCGGCTGCACCCCTAGTTCCGGCACCTATGCTTTTGTATGCAGAAAAGCAGCTGTTGTGGCACAGGTGGGCCATGGAGTTTTTATAGCATGTTGGGAGGGGCCTCAGAAAGCAAAATGTTGAGAACCCCTGTTCTAGATGATCTTAAGTGGCTGGCCTTCAGACAAATCTTTCAACAAATTGATGCCCATGCTTAATTAATTATGCTAGATAATTAAAACCTTCCATATCTCAAGGATATTAAGCCTGAATGAGGCTTTTGAGAACCAGTAAGGATGGTGATGTAAGGATTTTAATGCCAGAGTCTATACTAGTTGCAGTTTTTATTCAGTTGGAGTTATCTTTATTTTTCATGACTGAGATGCTTATTACATTTGCCATAGTCATTCCAGGTTCTACCTGCTGTCAAGTTGACTACGAATCTTCATTATGATGTTTGCCATTTCAGGCAGAGGTTTAATATCTACAGCATTTTGTAGCTAGTATGACAAACCATTCTTCTTTGTGGCAGGTAGATTAGAAGAATGTGGGTTGTTATGATAACATCTTGATTTCTTTAGTACAGGCTGTTTCAAAGAAATATTTTTAATTTTCTCTTGATGTACTTGAACTAAATACACACTTGAGAAAGAGTGGTTTAGATACAATTTTTTAAAGAAAATTAACATTTTTGGCAGTTCCTATGTTCCTGTTTCATGGTCCATATTGGAGTGGACCCAAGCTCCATCTCATCCAATTTACTGTCTCCAGCAGTGGCCAAAACCAGATTCCTCAGAGGAAGGTGCAAGAATCCCACAGTAGACAGATGTGATATAATCTGTCCCGTTTCTTCCCCTCCCCCCCCCCCCGAAAGTCTCAATCTCATCCCTAAAAGTTGGAGATTACTTTAAATGCTGAACCACGGGTATTTTTATCCTTTCAAAAGGTCCTTGTTTCCATTAACCGCTATAACTTTGGATAGTCTTGTTATTTACGTTAACATCTGATCCCTCTTTGAATTTTACTAAATTCTTATTTTGACAACTAAAAGGATGCTCATAGACTCATAGACTTTAAGGTCAGAAGGGACCATTATGATCTTCTAGTTTGACATCCTGCACAACGCAGGCCACAGAATCTCACCCACCCATTCCTGTAACAAACCCCTGACCTATGTCTGAGCTATTGAAGTCCTCAACTTGTGGTTTAAAGACTTCAAGGTGCAGAGAATCCTCCAGCAAGTGATCCATGCCCCATGCTATGGTTGTTTTTGCCATCAGCAAAAATGGTGCAATAGTTTTCAACTATAATGTTAGGGGGAAATAGGTAGTGTTTCCAACATTAATTTATTTCCAGGCATTCTGAAGAGATCTAGAAATGCCATACTTAAGAGCAAAAGCCTGAAATTTGGCAAAGGGAGTCTTGGGGCTCAAGAGATGTCTTTTGCTGGCCCCATAAAATTTTATCCAGATTTGGCCAATTAAGGCCCTGAAAAATTTCCATTTGTACATGCTTAATAAAGCTGGTTCGAGGTCGGCTGCTAAAATCTTTGAACTTCTTACTCCCTTGGAACTCTCTGAACATTGAGCATGTTTTCTATCCTTACATGATCCGGTATTGTAGAGAGGCAAAGCAGTAGCTGAAAAATAACCTTTGGCTGAAAAGCATTGGATTAGAATCTAGGAGGCAACCATGAAGTTTAGTTTCAACTCTTCCACTAACAAGAACTAATTGTGCCCTTCACATGTCTTATTATTGAACAAGGCCTCATTCGTATTCCTCTCAAGACACAAACAATCATCATTCACCCCCATTTTACAGATGGGATAACAGATTGCACAAAACGAGTACTGGCACAACTGGGTAAAAACCTAGAGCTCTAATATGAAAGGCCCATTTAACCAAACTGCCTTTCAGAACGAACATGCCAAATCTGTGTGTTCAGATATTCTGTCTATAACCACTGCTCTATCCTCTAGTCCATTCTCCCCCCGAGCCTGAAATAGAATTCTGATTGCCAATACTGTTCCACTGTCTAGCAAATAGTTGTGTAAGCCATTAAAGTGGGCTTTGCATTCCCTTCCAATGGCAGGCCCTCCCACATAAAAGACAACTGCTTATTGCTGCTACTTCTCCAATGCAAAATTCTCTAGTGTTTAATAAGAACAGAATTTGACCCCGGTGTGGATAAGACTTTCACACTGTATATGAGTATTCTGGCCTCAGCACAGACAAACTTCAAACTCAGGAAGAACTTCTTTTTTTGCAAACATTTTGCATAGGGATATTTAGTATAATGGCAAGGTCCAGAGAAAGTTCTCAAGAGACATTCTTAGTCTGCATACACATTGTACATTTCATATCCAGTTTCTGGCATTAGGCTCTGTCCCTGACTTCTGTTCTCACACTAACACCTTAAGTGAGGAATAAAAAGAAAGAAAGTGTTCAGTCAGAGTCCAGTGATTTGGATGAATGCTTTGGAGAAGAGCCAACAACCTCAGCAACACCAATGCTTGTTGGGGATTGAAAAAAGGAGTGAAATCTAGACAAAAGACTAGGTTAAAATAGAGTTAAACTTGTAACTATGTGCTCTATCTACCTTATATAAAAACAACCTAAGTAGAACACTATTTCAAAATAAACTAAAACATCAATAAGTCTAGCATTACTCAACAAATATAGAAAGAACAACTTTAACTTTGCCTTCTTGCTTCTCACCAGCATTGTCTGTGCAACTTAGCTAGGTGGTTGCATGCTTCATTGCAAGTAAGGCCGAGTTCATTGCACACCCCAGGGGCTCCTGTTGGTTGGCTGGCAAGAACGCAGGCAAGTAGGTAAGCTGGCCAGTTTGTCAACTTGCCTAGTATCAACAAAAATATTTCCATGGAACGTTTCAATTTTGAAGAACCGGCATTTTCCAAAGGAAAAAAGTTCTAGTCAGGGAGCCTGGCACACAGAGGGGTATGAGGACATGAGGCACTTGAACTATAGTGCCCATGAAGGCACCATGAAGGCATTTATAAATCAAAATTTTGGGTTTTAAACCAAAAGTTGTGGGCTGGAAACTTTTGTTTGTTTGTTTGTTTGTTTTACACTTAATAGTCAACGTTTTCTGCAGGGAAACAAAAACTTTTCAGATCAGCTCAATTTGAGTCGTCTTATGTTCGTGTTGTAAAATTTATCCTGACAAGTCAAACATATGTGTCCTCATTTCAGAAGCCT